TACTTCTGTTTTGAATTTTTCTAGAGTCTGATTGGTCTGTTTTGTTACTTCCTGTGCTATCAGTTCAGGGTGTCCAGTTGGTTGACTGTCAGACTTTTACATCTTGTTTCCCCTAGAATTTGCCGTTGGTGAACTGGAAATCTCTCTTTGTACCTTGATTACGTATTTTCTCATTTTTATTTTTGTTGTTTGGCTGTCTTTGGTTTAATTCATGGGTTAGTACTTTAATCTTCCTGATGTAGCTGCTTTTTAGGTTTTGAGTCTCTAATGACTCATAGACACTCTCATTTTCATAATATCAGAGAGGACAACTCATTAAGGCAATCACAACCCTTTAGCCAAATTAATGCAATCAACAACACAGTAGCATCAAGCACAGTTTAGAAATTGACAAATTTTTTATTTATTAATCTATCATCTTTAAATCATGTGAATTAAATCAAAATCAAAGACCAGGCCAAAATATTTTTATAGTGAATAAACTCTTCAATATAGCAACTTGACCCTTCAGTATGGGGACTTAGAAGGAGTTAGGAGGTGAGGAATGTATAAGTAGAAGAATAGGAGAAGGTTTCAAGTGAAGCCAGAGGACACGGGATGACCACATGAACTCTAGGGAACTATTGAAGACAAGAGGGAAAGGCAGAGTACAAGAACAAAGACAAGAATAGAACAACTTAACAGTAATAGGGAAAGTATAAATTGTACTCACTTTCCTTTGAAACTAATGATACTCAAGTTCAGGAAAAGGAGAGAAGAAAGTAAAAAGAAAGAAATCCAAATTAGGGTAGGAACAGGAACAAAAAGGGAGATGAAGAATAACATGGGGGAGCAAGAGACTGAGCAAGAAAAAGAAGAAAGGAAAAAGGAAGAATTTGCAGAATGTGAAAAAATAAAATTTTAAAGCTAAATATTAAATTTAAAAATATAAGAAAAAAATTTGAAGATCCTCTTTCAGGTTATATCTCTGCAGTACTAATAGACAATGTGGGAAGCAATGTGCAGAAGTAAGTCAATTAGTCTCAGCTGGCTGATGGCAGACCCCTGAGATTCAGGCTGAATTTTGGCTGCAAGGCCCAAGTTGAGCTTCCTGACCTCCTGCAGGGTTGAACTCTGCAAGGTTCTACTACAGGTTCTCACTGTTCTTCCCCTGGAGATAGTCCAAGTTCTGATGGAAGGTGGTTATCCCTCCAATCTATCAACTTTGGAGGTCTGCTGTGCCTTTATTGCAGTTGCTCACTTCTGTTCTATCTTCTGGAGCTCAGTAAAATGGCCTTTATGACCACCTGTGCCTCTGCAGTGTGGATCCAGGTACTGTTATAACCAGGAGGCCCAAGAGCATGGGGGGTGAGGGGAATGCTGCAGAGATACCTGCACAGCTGGGTAGTCCTTACCTGTCTGCTCTGATGAAGGCCCCAATTTTGTGTCTTTCTTACAAAGGTTTTTCATAGCTCTTTCTCTGGTAAAGAAATTAAGTCTGATTTTCCATATTAATATCCAACTTAATTTGTCAATGCCCCTGCACAAAAAAAAAGAGAAAATAAAGCAAGAAAGAAAAGAGAAAGGAAAGAAATTCCCCTGCAAAAAATTGAAGAAAATTGTCTTCAAAATTCCAATTGTAATTGCATTAATTATTCGTTCTGGGAATACAAGATTGATCTTGTTTCCATTTCATCATTTCCATTTTATTAAGGTATTTGTTTTGTTTACAGACTGGGAATTGAACACAGTACCTTTGCTTTGAACTATATCTCCAGTGCTTTTTTTCTTTTTTTTTTTTTTTGAGATTATTGGTACATTTTAGGTATACAGTACAGTTACATTCATTATTGGGATCTTGTACCTTTACATGACAGGCCTTGGTTCTTATTTTTTCCCCTTATCCGTGACCTCCCTTCACCCCCTACTCCTCCCCTCCCCGTTTACAAATACTTTATTTCCATTTTTTCATTTTGTCTTTTTTTTCTGTTCCCTTATTCCCTTTCCCCTACCCTTCCCACTTTCCCTGCACCTTTAGCCCTTTTCTTCCTACTTCACATTGTTATATCTCATTAGGATCTTGTGTACTATTATAGTTTTTCACACCAGCCAGCACATTTTTAATACTTGGTTTGACACAAGATCTTACTAAATTGCCTAGGCTGGATTCAAAGTCATAATCCTCCTGTCTTAGCCTCCCAAAGTGCTAAAATCACAGGCATTCACTACCATATATGGATTTGTTAAATAATTTTAAATGTACATTAGTAAAATTGGAGAAAGAAAAGGAAACAGCTAGCATTTATTAGGTTCCAGGCATTTCTCCAAGATCTTTACATGTACTTATTTAATTTAACCTTTACAATAATGCTATGGGGTTATTATATTTTTCACGATGAGGAAACAGGCACTGAGAAGTTTAAAAAAATTCCCCCAAATCTCCCAATTAGTAGATGGCAAAGATTGAATAAAAATTGAAGGTGTCTGCTTCCAGAGCCCATGGTTTTAGCTGTAGCAGCATTTTGACCTCTTATTGCATGAATTTGTAAGCAGACATATGCAAATGTTTTTACATTTATTGGAACCATCGGGTTTTCTTCCTCCTTCTACATTACGTCAATAAATGAGTTCTGATTTAAGGGACAGCATCACCCACTTGGTAAGACATATGCTCTGATGTTTTGAGCTCCACAAAGAGCATTGACTCTTCAGGATAGGACTAAGTGGTTTAGAAAGCCAAGAATAAGTGCAAAGTCCTGAGTTTGATCCCTGGTTCTGGGGGGAAAAAGCCTAGAAAGCCAAGAATAGTCACATGGAGATGCCAATACTCTACTTACAGCAGAAGATCTTAGAAACAGCTGTACTTCCTTTTTTATTTTCATGGGAAAGATGCACTTTTCTTGCAGGTTCATTTGATATACATCTCTATAACTGTATTTTCTTTAGATCCAGTGTTTTTATAGGAACAGAGAGCTCCAGCTTTTCTTTTAAGTACTCCTTAAACTTCCCACTTTCTTTAGGGACACCAAAATCTTTGTTATTATCATTATGATTAGAGATGTATATCAGTATAATTTTCAGGAAAAAAAGGGCCACATGTGTAGTCTATAGTTGAGGATTAGGTAAAGCAGGTTATGGGGCATTCTGGCTTTTCTGGGATCCTACTCAAGTATACTGTGACATAGATGCCATGGGATGGCAGGGATTTAAAATTTTTGAACCACTGTGTTGGAAATTTGGAGATTCCTTAAGTGTAGTAAGGTATGATGGTAACAATTTGGCATTGCTAATGACAAATACAAGCAAGCAACTCTAGAATAACTCAGTAAAATAAGAAACTGAAGCATGTAGATATTCAATGGCTTCCACAAGCTCCCTTACTGCTCAGTTAAGGATTTCTTTTTTCTTTTTTTTGAGATAGGTTCTTGGTATGTAGTTCAGGCTGGACTTGAGCTTACTATGTAGCCCAGGCTTGATTTGAATTTGTGGCAATCCTGTCAGCCTCTTGAGTGCTAAGATTACAGGTGTGTGCCACCATGCCCAGTATGAGTCAAGGATTTCTAATCCTAAATATTCTATGATGCCCTTCTAAAGTAAATTTTCATTAATTCCACATTTATTGAGCACCTACTCTGTTCCAGGCATTGTATTAGACTTTTAGGATACAGCAGTTTACAATCCCTCATGGGATTTCTAACATACTTTTTGACACATACAATTAGAGTTAAATATTCTAGAATCACAAACAAGATTAGTTCCGTAAGAAGGTAAGCATCAAAAAAAGAAATTCAATTAAAAAGAGCGTTTTCTCTGAGTCTTAGAATTGGATTATTTTTAGTGTTTTTTCTGGCTCATGTAGTGTTTGGTCAGAATCCTGCTTCGTATAGTACAGGTAGGTCTTCACTATATCTTTATATGCACTCTTCTCAAGCCAATGACTTCACAATTTTTCAAAAAGCCTATTTTGTATATTTATACTATTATTAAAGTAGAAAATAGAGAAATGCAGCAAAATATATGTTTATTTAGTGTTGCTAAGGCTTGAACCTGAGGCCTTGTACATCCTGAGCAAGTGCTCTACCCCTAAGCTACATCCCTAGCCTAAGAGATTTTAAAAACTGATATAAAACCCTATCACATAAAATATTTCAATTTATTTCTGTACATGCTATTTTGTTTTATTATATGTATTTTAGGACTAGCATGTGATGTTTTGAAATATGTATACATTGTGAAATGGTTACCACAACCAAGCTAATTGGTATATTTATAACTTTATATAATTACCATTTTTGTGTTTGCTATAGACACTTAAGGTCTACTCTTTTAGAAAATTACAAGTATAAATGTTTTGTCATCAATATATATATATATATTTTGGGGGGGGTACAGGGGAGTGAACTCAGGTCCTTGCGCTTGCAAGGCAGGCAGTGACACTACTAAGCTAAATCCCCAGCCCAATATATTATTATCTTTATAGTCACTATGCTGTACATTAGACTCCTCAAACTTATTCACCTTATAACTAAAAGTTTGTACTCTTTGACACAAATTCTCCCATTCTGTTCAACCTTCAGCCCCTGGATATTATTTTTTTACTGTTTCTGTTTTTAAGATTTGACATATAGATAAGATAATACAGCATTTATCTCTCTTAGTATGCCTTACTTCACTTAGTGTAATGTCCTCTGAGTTCATCCACTTTATTACAAATGACAAGATATACTTCATTTTGTGACTAACATTCAATTTGTGTGTGAGAGCATACACACACACACACACACACACACATTTTCTTTATCCATTCATCCATCAGCAGATCTTTCTGTTGTTTCCCTATTTTAGCTGTTGTGAATAGTACTGCAATGGATATGAGAGTACAGATATCTTTTTGGCATACTGATTTCATTTCCTTTGGATATCTATCCAGAAGTGGGATTGCTAGATCATGTGGTAGTTCTATTTTCCATACTGACTGAGTGCCTGTTTTTTTTTTTCTGTTCCTTGTTTTGTTTTTACAGCTGTGCTAATGACCTTTTCCTTGATATCTGTCACCTATGGGGCTACCCTCTGCAATATGTTGGCTATCCAGATCAAATATGATGACTACAAGATTCGCCTTGGGCCACTAGAAGTCCTTTGCATCACCATCTGGAGGACACTGGAGATTACTTCTCGCCTTATGATTCTGGTGTTATTCTCAGCCACCTTGAAGTTAAAAGCCTTGCCTTTCTTAGTGCTCAACTTCCTGATCATCCTCTTTGAGCCTTGGGTTATGTTCTGGAGAAGTGGTGCCCAAATGCCCAATAATATTGAGAAAAATTTCAGCCGGGTTGGCACTCTGGTGGTGCTAATTTCAGTCACCATCTTATATGCTGGCATCAACTTCTCTTGCTGGTCAGCACTGCAGTTGAGGTTGGCAGACAGAGATCTTGTTGACAAAGGTCAGAACTGGGGACATATGGGCCTACACTATAGTGTGAGATTGGTAGAGAATGTGATAATGGTCTTAGTATTCAAGTTCTTTGGAGTCAAAGTGTTACTGAATTACTGTCATTCTTTCATTGCCTTGCAACTCATTATTGCATATCTGATCTCCATTGTCTTTATGCTCCTTTTCTTCCAGTATTTGCATCCATTGCGCTCACTTTTCAGCCATAATGTAGTGGACTATCTCCACTGTGTCTGCTGCCACCAGCACCATCAGGGAAGGGCTGAAAACTCAGAGCCACCTTTTGAGGCTGAAACAAGACAAAACATTGTCTGATTCTATCTTTTGGGTATTATGGGATGAACTGAGGGTTGCCAAGAGGAGTTATGAAATTGAGAGAGAGGATGAGACTCATGGGTAAGTAGCCAACAGAAGATTTTCTTGAGTTTTCTGGCAAGCCTATCAGAAGAAAGAGTAACCTCCCCAAATAGGTTTTACTTCTTTAAGATTTACTACTAGTCAGGAATGGTGGTACATACCTGTTATCCCAGCTACTCAGAAGGCTGAGGCAGGAGGACCACAAGGTTGAGGCCAGACTGGGCAGTGTAACAAAACCATAAATAAATAAATAAATAAATAAATAAATAAATAAATAAATAAATAAACAAACCTAAATAAGCTGTGATGTTGCTGCGTGGTATAGTGATTGCCTAGCATGTACAAGACTTGGGGTTCTACGCCTAGTACCACAAAAATGAAAAAAAAATATTTATTATTACGTTTAGATACTAGGGATATCCACTATTTAGTTGAAAGGGTCAGAAATACTTCCACATCACTCCTACCCAGGCCAGCTGGGATAAATTACCTTATGCACCTTAAGCTCTTGGTGACTTTTTAGATCTGCTCATTTGCTCAAGGTATTATTGAGATTTTCCTGCTAAGCTGGATGCTCAGAATCTCCTGACTGATCAGATCAGTAGATGAAACAGCTTACTAACTATGGGTACCTCCCAGGAAACAATCTGACTGTTATGGAATCTATGTGCCTAGAATCTTTACATTCAAATGAAAAGCTCTGGCTCAGAAGAAAATCAGTACTGTTAAAAGAGTTGTTCCCCAGATGAGCTCTCCATTAGAATTTCACTAATGGTCATTAAGCAAGGAGGTTGTGCAGAGTAGAAATCCTTCAGTGTATAAGCCAGAATGCCTCTTTTATTAGGAGCCTGCTTGAGCCACCATCTTGTCAAGTGAAATGGTTGAGTGAAGTCTCTCACTGCTTCATTTACACAAATTCCCTCCAACCAAGCTTTTCTGTGCTCGTGGCATTTTACTATTTGCTGTGGACCTCAGAGATGCTGAACTCTAACTGAAAATGTTTCTAGTGTGTGAATGAAATGAAGACTGCTTTGTGTCTGCTATTGTCCTGAGTATTTCACTGATTTTTTTAGGGTGGAGAAAAACGATAATGGCTGGGATGTCACCTTCATGTTGCTTGGAGCTGGTTTGAGTGGCTAAGACTTCCAAGATAAAGTGAAACTGGCAAGAAACCAGATCACATTAAATGTCATGAGCACTGGTTTCTGCCTGCAAGGTTGTACTTTCTGAAAGCAGTATAGGTTTGTCAAACCTTTGATCATTCCCCCATCACCAATGCATGAAAACATGCTTCCCTTTCTCGTGTATCTCAATGTTTATATCTCATGTCGGTTGGATATTTTGGTGGGCATGTCAGCTGGATGCCGCAAAGTAAGCAAGAACTTGAGGTTACTATGACCACTGCTTATTGGGACCAAGTATCCTAGCCTTTATCTAATTAATCCCTGTCCCTCACAGACCAAAACAGTGAGAACCAGTAGTAGTGTGTACCAGTTGTCATCGCCACATGATTCCCCACATTGTAAACAATCTGACATCAGGCTTTCCAGGCCCATCTGATTTTACTCTTGCAATCATGCTAAGAGTTTATCTTTAGGCAATTCCTCATTTTCTTAAACATTATTAAGTTTTTATGTCAGAGGAAGCTTCCTCTTCTAAGTAGCTGGGCTATCAACCAGAGTTATCCCATTTCTTGACATGGATAGTGTGGTTTCCCCAACTTCTGCTGCTGTTTGGAGCTAAAAGGATTGGTTAATTAATTTGGGGAAGAATATAGTGTCCTACTTTGTGTTATGGTTTAAATCTAAAAGCCCCCCCCCCATCTCAAGTATGATGGTGGGGCCTGGCTGGAATGGGCATGTCACTGGGAGTATAATTTAGGAGGGTATGTTCTCAGCCCTGGCTCCTCCCTTCGGTATCTGCTTCCTAGCCAATGTGATGTAAGCAGCTTTCCTCTGCCATACTCCTCCTCCATGCCATTTTTGCCTTGGAGCCTATAGACCAAAGACTGAAATTTCTGAAACTGTGAGCTGACATCAACCTCTCCTCCTTTAATATCAGTACCAGGAATTTTGTCCCAGTGATGGAAAAGTGATCCAAACTTCCTCAATTCCATGTTTCACAATGAAGAAAAGACTTAAATTTTGTTGTACAAAGTTCATACTGACTTGGTTACTCAAGGTGAACTTGAAAGAAATAATCTATCAGACCTCCAGAAGAACACACTGTCTCTTTGGAATTCAAAGGAAGAATTTCTTTCCAATGGTCAATATGCCCTCAACTAAGAGCAGGAGCAGCATGAAACAGTAATTTGGTCTATAAAATAATATGAATCAGCTACTTAGGAGGAGGATACTATAGAAACACACACACACACACACACACACACACACACACACAGAGTCAGGAAAGCCAATTAGAGCCAGAATGGCGATGTACATGGCGGAAAGGTGTGCTTCAGTACTGGGCCAGTCAAAAATTACCCCTCATGTGTCCTCCTAGTCTTGATGACTTAATATCCTAAGACTACATAGACTTTAGGAGGAAGGGTGTGAAGTAGCTTCCAACCTGAGAAACCTGCTTCCCTCACCAGAAAAGAGACTCTGTTGATACATTATGCAAATGAACTCCCAGAACCTCCTTTAGGTGGTGGCCTTTCTATTCCACAGAAATTTTCCAGATACATAAAAGGAATTGTGGAATCTGAGATGATGGGCAGGGGAGGTACCCTCTTCCATTTGTAAACACTAGTGACCATTCTCTTTTTACCTTTTGAAATATTAAAGCAACACAGGGCACATTTGAAAGATAAGTCTTGTTGATTGGAAAGGAGGTAGCGATGGGGGCTAGCAGATGTTTCTAGAAAAGAAAGGCAGAGTCATCAAGTTTGGGGAAAAGAAGTAGGCCATTGCAACAATAGCTATTCTCATAGTATAGGCAAATTATGATGTTACAGAAATTGAATTACATTAAATGATAGTTGTCAATTTCATCTAGTTCTTGAATACTTTATAGGTACAGAGTTATGGGGCATTGTGGGAGAATTAAATAATAGCTTGTATTTACAAGCCCTTACTCTATGCCTGCCACAGTGCTATGTACTTCATGTATTTATTTTATTCATCCTCATAGTCACTCTGATCAGGTAGGTTGGGTTCTTTTTTTGTAGGTATTTTTATTATCCCCCCCAGTTACATCTTCTAAGGCATAGAAAGATTAAATGATCTGCCCAAGGTCACAGCTAGAATCAGAGCCATTGTTAGTTCTCAGGTGCATAGATTCCACGGGTCAGACACTTAATTATGACCAAAGCCAATAGATCCTTTTTGGTCTTTGTGAAATTATTTTACTGTTAGTAGTTTCAGAAATACTTTATGAAACAGGTTGTGTTTTTGCCAAACATTATTTCCCACAATCACTTCTTTTTGGTATTGAGGATTAAGTCCAGGGCTATAGTTAGCACAGAGCTACATCCTTAGTCCTTTAAAACAAAGTATTTTTAAAATTTTGAGACAGGGTCTTGCTCACTCATTAAGTTACCCAGGCTGGGCTTAAGCTTGCAGTCTTCCTGCCTCAGCCTCCTAGAGTACTGGAATTACAGGTAGGCTTCACCACTCCCAGTTTTACAATCACTTATCAAAGGACACCACTCAATTCCCTCTAAAGAGGGAAGGGTCAAGTCCTAAAAAATGGGATGAAAACCAAGTATGTGTTTACATACACTTGTAGATTGGTATTGAGGGAGTGAGAAGAAGGATGGATGGTAAAAGGTCCATTTTCTAGCTTCAGGACTTTGCCTCATGTATGTTCTTAAATATATACCTTCCAAACCCTGTTGTGGGAAGAAAATCGGAGGGAGCAATAACCACTCAGGGTTGTAGGAAGCCTAACCCCAGAAACAACTAGTCAGGGAAGCTCTGAAGCCCATTCTTTTATACTTCTTCTTGTCTGCTGTATTCATACTGCTACTGAGAAGCTGACTCCTAATTCTAGGGGCAATAGATGGTGGAGAATAATGCCCATTCCTCTACTACCATACTCCTGAGAGCCTAGGCAAATTTAGTGCCTTTTCTGCTAGCACCATCACACTTGTACCTTAGAAGGTCATGGTTCTTTGTATTACACAGTTTATTTCCAGCTCTTGGGCAGGTATCTAGGGTTGGGTGCTCACCAGGATGGTTCATCTAAGACCTTGGGACTCTGTCTTTAAAAAAAATCTTTTAGTACAAAATCAGTTAACTCCGAAGTCTCCAAAATACCTATCCAAAAGGTGAGAATCCTCACTCTCTGAAGATTTTGCAATTGTATTCTCCTACTATCTTTAGAGAACACATATGCTCATAATCTTATTCCTTATATGCTGAAGGACTGACCCAATCAATTACACACTTGAGACCTTACAGCCTCTTGGGTGCTTAGTGAAAATATGTTATGGGCCTTGGTGATGTGCACAAGCCAAGCCAAGTGAAACATAAGTTGTGAGGCCACTATACATGAGGAGTGAAAACTAAGTATGAAAAGAACACATTCCATACATGAAAATAAAATTAGAATAGCACTTTATGATTTACAGACTTATTTACATACATTCTGTGTTACCGATGCCACATTGTTAGGACAAGGCCTTTGATACATGGATTTGCATCATTCTACCTTCAGTTCACCAAACATCGTTAATTTTTTATTTTGTGCCCGAAAAACGTGTATGGATAGTTCAAAATGCTATATAAATTCTGAAAGACTCAAGAATGAATCCCAAATATCTGGTGTAATGTTGGAGATAAACAGCCACTCTGTTACTATGAGTGTAAAATATTGGCATATATTTTTGGATGGTGATTTGTCAATTGTTTTCAAAATTAAATGGGCATACATTTTGTCTTGGAATTTTAGCTACTAGGAATTTCTCCTTTGAAAACAGTCAGCTGGGTGTAGGAGCGTATGCCTGTAATTCCAATGCTCTGAGAGGGTGAGAGAAGAGGATTGTAAGTTGGAGCCCATCATGAGCAGTTTATCAACTAGTGAGATTCTGGCTAAAAATAAAAAGGGGCTGAGGATATAGCTTAAGGTGAAGGTTCTGTGTTCAAACCCCAGCACTGAAAAACAAAACAAAACATAGTCACAATTGTGCAAAGAGATTTGTACAAGAGACGTTCATTATACCACTTATAATGATGAAAAAATAGTCACACATT